CCAGGTTTTTTCAGATCAACTATAAGGACCAATATCGGTCCGTATATATATATTCAGACCGATTTCCTATATATTCGGACCGATATTTCGGTTCGAAAATCCCATTCCTGCAGTAGTGCGCTGAAGAGGAGAAAGTAGGCGAGGATGGCGACTACTACGGTGAATCCGAGCATGATGTGGGAGACGACCCCGGAGATGAATGTGACGAAGGATCTCCCGGCCCAGAAGGAGGCGAGGATGGTGAAGAAGAAGAAGAGGAACCCATGGAGGCCGCCGATGAGTCCCACCGTCCAGAAAGGTATGGCGACAAAGGAGATGGAGAGGACGATTAAGGAAGGGATGGAAATTATGGAGTGGGCGAGGACGTACGATGATCGGCAGTAGGCATTGTAAGCAGTTTCTCGCATGAAGATGTAGTGTTCTTGGGGGAAAACAGGGATGGCTTCGAAGCAAGTGTAGAAGGTGGTGGACATGGCGAAGGCAAAGAACCCATTTTGTTCTTGAACCCCTTTGGGGGAATTGTCCAAGTGCCAAAACATCGTCGCCAAGATGAATCCGGTGATCAGAATGGCGACTAATCGGATTCCAAACAGTTCAGGCATTCTTCTTGAGTTCGTCATCGATCTTTTTGCAATGACAATCATTTCATTCAAGAACGGATTCGCAAATGTGGGCACTGAAGAAGTTAAATTGGAATCAGTGGTGGCTCCGGAGACTAATTTCCTCCACGAAACGCTTGCACTGATGGTCGCTTTGAGTGAAAGAGTCCGTTCTTCGACGAAATTGTTTCTGGGATTAATTATGTTCTGCCATGACCTGTTGAATTCAGTTTCTATACTTAAATATGTATCTTCGTCGGAACTTTGCTCCTGCCATGTGGCCAAAAAAAAAAAACAAAATAGAAAGAGGGACAATGCTGCTGCCGGAAATTTGCTCCTGCCATGTGGCTGCTTACATGGCAACATATGACCCCATATGAAGAATTTTGTTAACAGAGTTAACGGAGTTAAGTGAGGGTAGACGAAGACGAAACAGTTTTGAAAGTTAATAGATGATTTTGAAAGAAAGTAAAGTATCTAGACTAAAATAAAAACAAAGGAATAGTTACTAGATGATTTATTAAATTAATCCTATATAAAACTATGCGCCATAGTTTATACCCTTTTTATTTTAGTATTTTTTTAATACAAAGAAATTGCGAATTAAAATTTAAATTTATAATTAAAAATATAAATAATT